CCCAACCAGCCACGTAACCGTGTTCAGTTTCAGCACACCTCACTATGACTCATAACAGACAGGTCGAGATATATTTCCGTTACTTTTTCCGTCACTCACCCAAAACCTCTCCCTGTGTGTGTACCAAAGCTCCGAGCTCACGGAAGATTTCGTTGACGTCTAAAATATCCGACTGAAAAGAGACATGGAATACAAATATTATAGAAACACAAAGGATTCACACAAAGTATGTTTTACATTACCTGTGACAAAAAAAGAGACGTAACTACGACTTCACACACCCACGCAATACACGTTGGATCCATCGCATCTCAGACCAGGCAAAATGGTTGTTGGGGAAATTGTTTCAAAGTTGTGCAAAAGTGTATAGATTGTATTGGAGAGAGAATCCCTTGCATTGCAAAACTGCAAGGATATTTGTTCGCTTTTAAGCACAAGGGGGCTATCGCGAAAAATTCTTATTTGAGAAAATCAAAGGTAAAGTTTTAGGACTTTAGGACCCTTGTTCAATTTCTTTAAAAGATAAGAAGAGTTTTCTCTATAAACAAACAAATATACACACCAATGAAACCAAACTTCTCCTATAGGTAAGGCAATGCCCACTTTTGGTGTAGGTCAAGATTTCTGGAAACCCGCTTGTCCTTTAAAGCGACCAATTAACACTTTTCCATCACAAGGCTCAGACAGTAAAAACCTTTGCCATCAAAAGCAAAGGCATTTTGGAAGAAATCGAAAGAAACTAGGTGGTAGACATCGCCAATCCGCGGGATGTGACGCCAAAGTGGTAAGAGGCAGGACCTCTGAGATTACTCTCCATCTCTGATAGAGAATATTCATTGTTCACTGTTTCAGGAAGCAACATCCCTGCCTTCCGGACATGTCCATTGACGCTGCAGTGAATGCAGCAGTCAGGGCGTACCAGATCTATGAAGGTTTTCAGCAGCAGAAGGAAACAGTTGATAGAGAATGAGAAAACAGTACCACACCATCTCTTTCACTGCCCAGCACTTTGCGACCTGCGTAGCACCTACCTGCCTGCCTCCCTAGACATCAGAAATACCCTATACAGCGACAAAGCACAGCTGATTAAAACCTGTCAATTCTTTGCCATATGGACAGACCGAAGGGCTAGAACCCAAAAGGCCGCTGGATCGGAAAAGTAAAGTAAAGTAAAGTAAGAATGACAAAAACAGGATACAATTCCTCTCCCAAGGAAGCAACATTGGACTTTGGACCCCGCTAAGGCTCAAACCCTTGAACTTGCTATCTCATGATAAGGTGCAGCATCCTAACCACTAGATTACCCACGCCACTAAAACTTTTCTTTCAACCATTAGGCATTAATGCAGAATTTAAACAAATAAATTTTAAAAAAGAATAAAAAATAAAAATATAAACAAGAAATTACAAATCATCATCATCAGCTGGAGTATTATATCCCCTCCCCCATCCTCTCCTCCCTTCCCTCTTTCACCCTCCTCCCTCCCTCCTCACCTCCAACTGATGTATCCTCTCCTCCCTCCCTCACCTCCAACTGATGTATCCTCTCCTCTCTCTCCCGTATGAGGGCCAGGTCGTCCTCAATCACGGCCTCCTGCTCCTGTAGTTGCTGTACTCGCTGCTGTTCCTCCTGGACAAGAGCCGTGCGGTCGTCGTCGTCCTGGTCACGTACACACACACACAAACAGAAAATTGAAATAGGAAGTTACATGATCAATATCGCCACAAAATAAACACACACACAAACAGAAAATTGAAATAGGAAGTTACATGATCAATATTGCCACAAAATAAACACACACACAAACACACAAACAGAACAATAGAAAACAAACTTCATAACATGGCACTTACAACGCAAATAGAAAAATATACTAACTTAATAACAAGTGTCATCACGGTACACACACAAACAGAAAAATAGAAAACCAACTTCATAACACCGCACACGCACACAAAAATAGAAAACCAACTTCATAACACGGTACACACACACAAAAATAGAAAACCAACTTCATAACACGGTACACACACACAAAAATAGAAAACCAACTTCATAACACGGTACACACACACAAAAATAGAAAACCAACTTCATAACACGGTACACACAGGCAAACACAAAAATAGAAAACCAACTTCATAACACGGTACACACACACAAAAATAGAAAACCAACTTCATAACACGGTACACACAGGCAAACACAAAAATAGAAAACCAACTTCATAACACGGTACACACAGGCAAACACAAAAATAGAAAACCAACTTCATAACACGGTACACACAGGCAAACACAAAAATAGAAAACCAACTTCATAACACGGTACACACAGGCAAACACAAAAATAGAAAACCAACTTCATAACACGGTACACACAGGCAAACACAAAAATAGAAAACCAACTTCATAACACGGTACACACAGGCAAACACAAAAATAGAAAACCAACTTCATAACAAGTGTCATCCCAGCACACACACAAACACAAAGATAAAAAAACTTTCAAGATCAATATCATCAAGGCTTACCCCACTTAACATAAACAGAAAAAAAAAACTTTTAATTATCAGCGTCATCAACATAAAACACTTAACACAAACAAACAAACACAAAGACAGAAAAAAGTCATGATCAATCTGATCACGACACAAACACAAACACAAAAATAGAGAAACTTCAAGGTCAACACCGTCGGTCACAACACAGTAAGCTGAAACTCAAACATAAATAGAAACACACACAGAAACAGAAACATTTTTTAAAAAAAAGAAAACTCATGGATCAATATTGTCAAGACACAACACGCAACCACAAAAATAGAAAACTTCATAATTGATATTATCACCACCACAGCAAAAACATATTACACACAAACACACAAACACTGTGTAGCAAGCACATAGCCAAACACTCACATAGTAGTCAAATTTTCAGATCCCGAATATTTTCTTACACATTTATTATATTCTTCTTTTTCAAAACCCGTACAGGGTAAAATTCAAACTGAGCAAAAGGCTTTCAGCATATCACTGATTTCATTAAGTACAAAGATCAACAGTATCTATACATATTATATTTGTTAAAGTCAATCACTTTCATCGCCTAAAACTTCGGAACCACTTAACTTTCGAATTTGAAAAAATTAACGGTGATTCAGAATCATTTAAAGGGTGCACAGTTTTATTGAGGAGTCTGAAGTCACTGCAGTTTAATTTTCAGTTTTTCATTAGTTTCGTTTAGATCTAATCTTGGGAAAGTCCGTCTTCTTAGACACCATTGTGAACAAGTGAGGCTTCCGTTCAGCACAAAGAGTGCTCACTCCTTCCACACCTTTCAAATTCTGGAGTGTACAACCACAAAAACGGAATAGAGAATCAATCTATACATCTATTATATATTTGGCAACTTGGAAACACATGTGTCACTTTTCTCTCAAGATTTATTGCTCCATTCCAGTAGAGTGTAAATATAGTAGACCAATGATATTCAGTAGATGTTAATGCACCCATCATTCCTTTCATCGAAAGGGGGCCCAGCTAGTTTTATACACTTCGGTACAAAAGTCTGGGTGGTTACTTACCGCTATTCCAATAAGAGGCTGCTGGGAAGACTGATTCCCCAGTTTGACAGAGCTCTTCGCTTTCTCAGCCACTTTCTGGAGAAAAAAAACCAAAACAATTAAATCAGCAAAACAAATTAAGAAATGACAGTTTCCTTTCATATCACTGAACTGAGTTTCAGTTACTTAAAACCATAATAAAAGAACAGGCTTTTTGGCAGATTTACAATCAGAAAAATGAAGGGTTTTTATTTTTCCCTTCATATACATGAAATCTAACAACGGTTCATAAAGAGTACGAGTAACAGCTTTACCCTAAAATTGACGAGCGTCTGATTCCCCTTGCGTCGTGACACGTTTAGAAATGAAACTAATTCGACAACTACACTTTACAGAACAATAAAAACAAAGAAACAACTGCTGAATAAATACCTTTTGCAACTGCTGAAATCTCTGGACTGCATCTTGGAAATTGCTTTTCAATAAATCCAACTGGATTTTCTGTTGCTGGAAACAAATAAAAAATAAAAGCATAAAGAATGTTAGTATAAAAAGAGCTATAGCAGTAAGAGGTGAACAAGAAAGCATTTGAGATCTCCATCCATCCATCCATCCATCCATCCATCCATCCATCCATCCATCCATCCATCCACCCACCCACACACACACACACACACACACACACACACATACATACATACATACATACATACATACATACATACATACATACATAAACTTGTTTATACTTACACATTTGAGAAGTAAGCAAAAAATGCATAATAAACTGACATACCCAAACAAACAAACAAACAAACATTATGCCCACTGTTCAGACAAAATACGTGAAACAATAGAACCCGGGTATCATGAAATATTGGTAAGCTCAATGAAACCCACTCCCCGAAGCCCAGCCCGTCTCCCTCACTCCAAGACATTCGTTTCTAAGACTAGCCAGACCCTGCTTATGTATGCATGGAGAGAAGATGGATTAAAGACGCGTTGATGTTTTTATTGGCTGCACGTTTCGGCTGGGTCCAGTCTGACCACAAAAAGAGAGTAATTTTTCGATAATTCAAGAGGAAGGCGCAGGTCGATATACAACAGGTGCTCATTTGCATTGGAGATAAATTGAGCTTAGTAAAATAAAGAAACAGGCTTGACTAGTTTTAAGTCGGATCACTAATCATTGTATATGTTTAACCCCCTTTCCATACTGTAAATTATTTAAGAGGTACAACCACCGAAACTAACGTCTATCTCCGATAGTACCGAGCCAAATGGATGAAGAGCCTTTATATCCC